TATATATATGGGCTGAAGAGATGGTCCAGCCATTAGAGGCTAACAACCAAAACATCAAAAATATATGCATATATAATATATACATATCTAATCATTATAGATACATATGCATATAATATTATAGATGCACATATAATAGATGATACATGTTCACCAGCATACAAAGTATCAGGTTTCAGTGGCATTTCCAAACATAATTTTTGTTGCTTGTCCCCCTCCCTTCTCTGTATCCCTTGCCTTTCCCATCACTGTAGCCTCTTTCTTGCTCTATGTCACTCCTGTGCTTCTACCCTTCCCGTCCCTCCCTTCCTCAACACCTTTTACAAAAAGTCAGTTAACTTCACTGGGACCCAGCAAAAGAATGGCACTGAATTTTCCTTTGCATTTCAAAAATCTAGAGTTTATGAAAAAGTTGAATATGAGTTAAGTTTGCTTGGCTAATCCTCTCCTTCCCTCAATCAACAATTAATAAATAAATGCCCAAATCCCAGGAAATCAACCACCCTATTTATCCCATCTCACAAATGGAATGAGTCAATCCTCAGGTGTGACTCATGGAGAAACAGCTGCATGGCCTCAGGTGAGGAGCTGGGAGGGTAAAGCTGTGTTCCTGTTTGTATTTAATTGGAACCACAGCCCTGACCACAGACTGCAGAAAATAGTCACATGCCCCTCCTGTATTGTGAATAATGTTGTGATGACTGGGGGTGTGCAGATGTCTCTTGGACACACTGATTTCTTTGCTCTTGGATATATTCCAGAAGTGGGTGAACTCTGGATGACACCACCAGAGTTCTACAATGGCTGTGCCTACTGACATTCCCATCAGCAGGGTGTGAGGGTTGCCTTTCCTCTGTGTCTTCATCAACACTATACAAGTTTGTCAGTTACACCTCCATAAAACTGGTGGAGGGAGTCAGAATAGAGACAGAGTTCAGTGCGAGAGTGCTTGCCTAACCTAGACAAGGCAATGGGTTCCATCACAAGTATGAGGGGCTGGGGAAGGGATACTGGTTCTGTCTGGGTGTTGATGAGTAGAAGGAAGGATAAAAGGGACCTCCAGAGTCTGGCAATGAAGTGGGGCAAAACAGGTGTCATTATCTATGAGTCATCTGCTGCACTGAATCCATTTAGTCATTCTGTGTATCTGTGTTCAGGGCTATCCATTTGGGATTAGATAACCTTTCAGGGAGCTAGTCCCTGGAGAAAACGGATTCTCCTTCCCTCATTTGGCTGGTTGCCTGTAGCTCTTCATCTTGAGGTGGGACCCCATGGCATTCCCCCATCCACCTTAGCATGTCAACTGGTTTTGTCATGGTGCAGATCTTGTTAGGCTACCATTCCATGGAGAGTTCACTGGTGCAGCTTCCCAATCACGTCCATTCTATGCATGGACTAGCAACAGGTGTCTTGACCCTCTGGCTCTTACATTCTTTCCACTCTGTGGATGCTCCCTGAGCCTTGGGTGTAGAGGGTGCATTGTAGCTGTGTCACGTATGGCTGGGCAACTCACAGACACTTATTCTCTGTGTTTGACCAGTTGTGGAACTTTGTGATAGTCTCCATTTGTTGCAAAAAGAAACTTGGTTGATGAGTGGTGAGGGGTACGCTTGTCTGCAAATATAAGGACACTTATTTAGAAAACAGTAAGAAACTATGTCGATCTAAGGAAGTGACAGAAGCAGGTTTCTTAAGTGATTTCTCATTGGTTAATTTATTTATGTAGTTATGCAAATATTTACCTTCAATAAATTTCTGCTTGCAGAAATACTAGCTCAAAGCTAAGGCACTTTTTTTCAATATTTTATTTATTATTTTAATTTTATGTGTATTTTGGTATTGTCTACATGTATGTAAGTGCACCTGTAATGCAATACCCTTGAAGGACAGAAGAGGCCGTTGGATCCCCTGGAATTGGAGTTATGGTCAGTTGTTAGCTGCCACATGCAGGCTGGGATTCGA